ACATTGAATCAGTCGACGATGCAGGCATCAGGTGGTAAATGTGATCTAATCGAATATTTAACGCATCGTTTCTCTACTGACGGGCATCATTTCCAAGTAATAGCATGTTTGTAGTTTCATTTTGAAGTGGTTCATTCAATAGGTAGTATCAAATCGTAGGTTTCAATTTTATTAAACTCGTCTTGAAGCATCGAGTTTTTTGGTCAGCTTCGTTACAGTTGTCACCAAACTCACGGTTAGGCTTGTGGTCGTATGATTACATTCGCAGATAAAAGTGAAATTCTATTCATTGAATCTTTTGAACTATAGTATTGTGCAAACAGGTGAACGATAATTTTCATTCACCCAGCCGGTTCAGCAAGGCTATGGACTAAGATGTTGGATTTCCAATCGATCGATAAGCGCTATCATGCTGACGCGCCTGTGCGAATGCGTTGTCCTAGGAAGAGTGCTGACGATATTGCAGAGGTCACCGGTCAAACGTCATCGTAGCTTGTGTCTAATGCGTCCCTTACTGTGTTTTAGCAGTACACCTAATTGTGAATCACCTTATATCATCAGGTGTTGAGCTTAATCAGTCACTAAGACCATTAGTAACAAGAGTTCCCAACGTTGGCCATAACGTATGTATCGACCGGTTTTAGCAAATAATAACAGCAATGAAAACGAACGAACGAGTGAATGAATGTCTACGGGCACTACGGTATTTATTTTTCACTAGAAAAGCATGAATATATCACACAGCGAACAATCCGAGCTTGAATATGGAAAATAAATAAATGTACTAAATGAACCCATTAACCGTCATTTCACTTGTTTTCGATTGCGTAGTTCCTCTTGAATGATATTTTGGTATTGGTAAACGGTAGACTACGTAGGTAATAATTAATTTGGATAGTCACTTGAGTTCCATTTTTGTGATGTCATTACAGCCCAAACCGTTGTAGATCACGGTAGATGCCATGCACTCAATTGAGTGGTCACACTTGCATTGCTATTGAATGGTACATTATTAAGAACAGAGAATTCGGTTATTGGGCTAAAACAAGTGACCTAAACGAAAAGCAAGTATATTTGAACATATGGACATGTAAAACTGAAAAAGAGTTGACTGCTGAGGACATCATCAAATATATAAACTTCTTCAATACACAAAGACTAATGCTGACCGTTTCTTCAAATTCTTCTTTAATTAACCAATGGTAATGATGAATAATGAGGACAAGCAATGGAGACCAAGTAGTTTCCGTCTGTTCGGCTTATTTTGTCACAAATATTCCAACCTATTGTGCATAGTACTTAAATCATATGCTAATGACCAATATGGTATGTCGTAGATTCTGAGATTTACTCACTTTTTCGATTTCATTATGGAAAGGACAGAGCAGGAGATTGACGATATACTTAACATTGAAATTTAACTTCGTTTCTTTCCAGTTCTCACTTCATTTATTAAGTGTGCCTGTAATCCAATTCGCCATCATGCAATACGTTTCGTTGATAAATTGCTACAATTTTTCACAGTGAAATTTGTCAACAATCTCAAAACGTACCAGTTTTAGTGCTTTCTTTCGCAGTTCCCATTCGTTCCATTCGTAATCTTTATCGATATAACTGTCAATCGGATGCACTTCGGTTTGCATGCCAGCGTCCGTATGACCCATGTGCTTGTCAATCAGCTGAACGTCCTGATTCGTTTTTATAAGTTGAGCACAAAAAAGATGATTCAGGTCTTAAAAGCATGAAACTAAGGGTTAGTTATGACCATTTTATAGTAGCCTGCTGTTTCACAGACATCATAATTGAATTGCATGGATCCATCAAAATCTATAGTGCACTATGACCCTGATCGCTGACAGTGCGCTTTGGAAATCTTTTGGTGGCAAACGATCTGGTTGGCTTAAGCTTGGCATTCGGCATGGTTTAAACAATACAGCATGAAAAGATAGGTTTAGGTGATTGCAGTTTGTCGTTAGAATTTCCCATCGGTTTATTATAAAGAGCTTTACATAATACTAAGCCTTCCCTACTAGTAAATTTTATCGTGAACACCTTATTTTCCCAAGGAAATCCTCTTCGCGTATTGGTAATGTTTTACAGTATACTGAAGTTGCGAATAAATGAAACTGTTCTGAATAGATTTCATGCACATTTGTACTACTGTTTGTTTTTATCTAACTGACGTCAATGAGCGGATTCCTTTGAATTGTCTGGATAGCTAAAACCTTACCAGTGTGCAATTTGGCCTACAAATTTCGAAAACGCAATCTTTTATCCAACAAATGTTTTGAAAACGCAAACTGCGACAGGTTAGATGTATACTAAGCCACTCAGTTCTGAATAGGCGACAAACAATGCTTTTATTTCAGTGAAACTAAAAACCTGGTTAATTTTTCTTGAAGTTCCCAATCTTGTATAAATGAAGGGTTCGTAAAACACCGGAAACCTATGACTGATGACTGAAATGAGAGTTCTATGAACATTTCACTCAGCCTAAAATAATTTTATCAATTTAGAGAGTCATAAAGGCACTCACTTTAGGTCCGGGAATACCTTTAGCAAACACATCAGTCAGCTTCAAAAATTGAATCAGTTCCGGTAAACGACGAACCACATCCGGTACGGCTCGGAGAAAGCTAGAAACGCGTTTTGATGAAAGAGAGGAAAACTGACAGAGCTACAGGATTCCACCGGATCGTACAAATCATAAAGGCTAAGTATTTGAAGCAAAAAACAATCATTGCACGACTATGAAATCCAAATAAAATTTTCATCATCAATGCAATTCAGCGGCAAAATCTTTAGCCTCATTCAAAATTATAGTTGGAGAAGGTTTAGGATTTGTAGATTGATTGATTCTGAAGTAATGGATACCTAAAATGTTTGGAAAGAAATTTAAATGCGTGGAAAAATTCTGAACAAAGCTTTTAGTTGAGTATCAGAGAAGATCCGTTTTCTTGGACTTCTATGTACGATACTTCATGATATTTCGAAACAGTGGCTCCCAACTATGAATTTTCAAACCACAAACGTGACAGTACATGAAATATATTGTGTGAAATGACATGTTGGTCGTTTCAAGCTGGTTTATCTAAATCACTTCTCCGTTCTCTGGGTTAAGATCATGTGCAGTATCTGTTTGACAATCCTTTGATTGGCCGCTTCCTCCTTCCTGAAAGTTGTGTTTTTGTATATTCAAGGAAAGGAAGTAAAAATGAAAGAGAAGAAGAGAAGAATTACATCGTGTATTAATACAAAAAGCTATCGTTGCACAGTGTACCAAAGTGATCGCAGAGCAGAGGTTGAATATTTCTACTCACTGAAATGAACAGAAAGAGAGCATTTATTCGCTTCAACTTCAAATTTGTCGCCGGTAGTGGGAGGTGCACAATTTACTCAATATTTTAAAACAGGAATGGGTAAATGGCAGATTTGGGGTTTGAACGCGGCACTTAATGACAGTCCATATATTTATATTCACCAAGCTGACTCCAATTCATCTGCTGTGCACGAGATGTTTTAAGTTTTTCTGCAATCTCTAGCAAACGAGCCAATGTGTGATAATGAACTGTTGTGTGCAGCTGTAGTTTCCCGTCAATATATTTAGCTAGTGAAGGTATTTGAACGTTTGTTTGGCAAAATCAGTTTCAACCAGGATTCTGTGTTAGAAGAATTGGGAAGATGCTTTTAGCGCACTCCTAAACACAGACATAAACGTGCATTTTGGAGTTCAAATGATGCATGGAGTCTGAAGCCATGCTTCCTCATATAACAAAGTCGGAAAGTTTGATATAAAGATTGATTTTCTTGAGAGAGGCTCTCGTCGTTTGTTGAATCAAATTTCGACACTGGACCCTCCGTTCACAAAAACAGAATAATATTACCTCAATTATAACCTGGACAACTACCTATCTATGAGGAATCATGATTTTTTCTCTTTTTCATTTTTACTTTTATTGAATACACAATGATACAATTTTCACCAAGGGGAAAGCGGTCAATCAAAGGGCTGCCATACAACACACACAAATGGGTAAAGTCAAGCGGTGGTGGTGGGATTCGAACACTAGTCGCCCGGGGTGATAATTTGGTGACGTTACCACCGGGCCACTACCGCCAGAATACACACATGATTTTCAACAGAATCCGCTGATTAAAGAAGACTGTTCGTTATCTTTCAATGAACTAATGTACTTCTGGTATGATGTTACAGTTTGAGCCATTTTTATATCAGCCGCCAGTGCTTCGGTGGTGGCTAGAGTGGTTTGTCGTGCCATTTTCACAAAGGCAAGTCATGATTGAAGGCCTTCGAAGAAAAGCAAACAGTGGACCTGTAAAAAAGATGTCCTTTTATTTCCTTTTACTTTTTATTGAATGTACAAATATACAGTCAACTTTCAGGAAGGAGGATGCGGCCATACAAAGGCTGCCTGGGGAAAATACAAATATA